TCCCCCAATTGCAACCAAGACTTTCTCCTGTACATTGGAAATATTCCATGCAATACCATCATTTGGGAGGCCGCCGTCCGTTGAACGGCAGCTTCGTTAACTGCTTGGCACTGCTCACGCTCTCCAATATTGTCTCTTCCACAGGCCATGTGTGTCACAAACCGAGGGACAGTGGGGGGATTCTTCTTAGCCGGACGGAGCATGGTCTGGTGGCCGGTGAGTTGCATCTTCCAAGAAGCACATCTTCCAAGAATAATAGGTTCATACTGCTTTTCCTCGTGGGAAAAATTCAATGCTCAGAAAACTTAATCCTTCAGACTACAGGTCCCAGAATCCCCAGCCAGCAGTTGTGGTTGTTGGAACCGCCGTCCAAAAAACAATCTTTCCATCATGTTCTGTTCAATATCGTCTATGTTGGTGTGGCGGCAAATTTCCTACTTTATGCTTCCCTCCCGTCCCTTCCTCCACATTTGCAGCCTCATCGTTGCTGCCTTGCTCCTCGTCCCCCCACCCCTGAAAAAAAAATTGGGCAAAGCATGAAAGCTGGTAAACATCAGCCTCTCCTAAGCCAATGTTTGGAAATGCTGTTGTCGGAGGAAGAGGAGGGGAGGGGGCTGCAGTCCCAAGAAGCCCCCGGCCCATTCTGCTTGGCTGAGCCTGGCAGTAGTGGTTCCGAAAAGGGAGCCCTTCCCTACCCTGCGGAAAACAGCGGCCCCTGAGTCCACCTCTGCTGGAGGTGAGGGCTCGGTGGTCATGGAGGGCCGCTGGGCCCCCGACTTTGCCTTGAACAGAACCGGTTCCCTGCACTGAGGAGGACAGAAGGAGAGATAGGGGAAAGGACCTTTTCTGGCCGTTGACCGGGCCGCCTGCCGAGGTCTTTCGGGAGCCTGTCGGCGGAAAGCGTGACGTCTCCGATCTCTTTCCACAAGTCCATGTTGAGCTGCTAGGGAAAGGTTTGGGTTCAGAAGGAGCAGGACGGGGGGCCCAAATGGAAGAGTGCTGGTGGAGGTGTTGTTGTTGGTTAATGATTTCTTGGGAGAGCCTTCCTGGTAGCCGAGCGTCAGCCTTAATCATTAATGGGGGCTGGAGGTGGCGGAGAACCTCTTCGGCCAAAGAGAGAGAGAGAGAGAGAGAGGAAGAGAGAGCTCGGCCTGCCTCGGGGGCCGTCGGGACCCCCACCCACGGAAGGGGAGGCATGCTCTTCCTTGGGCCTCACAAAGCCCAAACCGAACCCAGAGCCCCAGCCTCGTCCCACTTTTAAGGTGAACAGACTGACCTGCACGTGGGCCCCTGCGGATCGCAGCCTCCCTCCCTCCGGCACAGAAGCCCGAACAAGAGAGGATCTCATGGCCCCTTAAGGGCCTTGACGGATGTGGTTCTGTGGCCAGGAGGGGTTCTGGGGGGGGGGAACCCTCCCCCATCTTTTAGAGGCGCTTCGGGGCCCAGGCTTAGGACTTCCAGGGGCTTCTCCAAGCCAAGGAGATGGAGGCCCCGTGTGTGTGTGCGTGTGCGGTCAGTCAGTCTCCTCCTCATTGCTTGGTCGGGGGGGGGGGTTCTCTTGGCCCCACCTCCAAAACTGAGTGGGGGGGCAGCTGTTGCTAATTGTTTTGGACTGTCATTCCCAGAGTGTGGGCTGAGGGGATTTGGGGAGTCGGAGTCCACGAAGTGATGTTTCCGGGCTGAGCTCAAGAGCCCCAGAGGACAGCCAGCTCGGCCGGAGATGCCGGGAGAGGGTCCCCCTTCCAGGGGGTCCTTCCCTCTGGGGGAAGACCGCCTCCCAGTCTCCAGCCTCGATGCACCCCCTTTTTTGGGGGGGAGTGGATGGTATTTTTAATGCCACACAGAGCGCTGCCCCTCTTAGCCCTTCACCACCACTTTTCTGTTTACTAAAACACGGGGATGCTTCACTGCCCTGCCGGATCACGGGCGGTAAACGATAGACCGAGCTCTCTGTAGACGCCCACCTCCTCGTTGCCTTCCCGAAGTTCTTTGGACCAGACCTGCCTGTATGAAAGCCACTGCTTTGAAGGACTGGGAGCGGACTCGGGCAGGACCGGATCCGGCCCCGGCGTTTCCTGCAGGGCAGGGAGGTGACGGGGGCCTTTTCCCCCCCATTCTCTTTCCAGATCGGGGCGTCTCTGTTTGCCAGCAACATCGGCAGCGGCCACTTTGTGGGGCTGGCCGGGACGGGGGCGGCCTCAGGGATCGCCATGGGGGCCTTCGAATGGAACGTGAGTGCCTTCCTCCCCCCACACCCCATTTTCTGGCTCATGTGGGGCGGGGGGGCAGTTTGTGACTCAGTGACAGCCAGGGAGAGATGGCGGAGACCCAGCCGACTCGCCCCCTACGTGTTTCCGGGGGGCCTTCCTCCCTTCGGCAGAAGT